CCCTGGCCTTCCCAGAGAGGGACCTGCCGGACCCGCTGGACCAGAAGATCGTCACCTGGGAGATGGTGCAGAAGGAGAACTTCCTGAGCCGGGTGGAGAAGAGGAAGCGGGACAGCGAGAGCGAGGTGCTGCGGAAGACCGCCCACAGGTGCGGGGCGGGGGGCCGGACCTGTCCTGGCAGGGGCGGCCGCCTTCGAGCCGCGTGCGCCCTCTGGTGCAGTGACAGAGGACCTGAGCTGGGGAAACTGAGGCTGGGGGGGCAGGGCCGCGGCCGGTCCCAAGGGCCCACTCGCAGTCCGAGGGAGGTCAGGGCCCTGCAGGTGGGACCGTGGGCCAATGAACAGGCCCTCTCCTGCAGAGGGTTCCGGGGTTGGCACTGGCCGCCCTCCTCCCTTCTCTCCAGACCCCGGCCCGGCCCTGGCTCTGTGCCACTCTCGCTGGACAGTGTGCCCAGGCAGGGTCGCGCCTAGCCCTCGCAGGAGGGCACAGATGCGATTTGTGTCTGTGACTGGGCGTGTTGTGTCCAAGAGTTGGGAGGGAACAGGCCAGAGCACCCAGACTCGGGCCCCCGGGGGGCTTGGGCCGGGCAGGAGGGCGGGGAGGTCACCACGCATGGAGTGCCCCACGGCGTCAGTGGCCTGCCTCCTGCTTCTGCCGCAGAATGGACTTCGTTGCCAAGTACCTTGGGGGGCTGAGGGAGCAAGAAAAGCGGACCAGGTGTCTGGAGTCGCAGGCAAGCCAGGCCCGAGGGCTCCCGACTCCTCATGGGGAGGCCGGGAGGCCCTGCACCCACCACCCACTCGCACCGCCCTGTGGGCCAGCCCGGAGCCAGAGATGAGTTTCCTGTCCCAGTGGGCAGGCGAGGCCCCGGGGAGAGGGGCCTTCCACACTGTCCCGGCCTCACCTCCACCCAGGGGGTCCCACGTGTAAGATCCTCGCCATCCAGTCTGCACACACCCACGAGAACCTTGCCCGCCTTGTCCCCTTCCTTCGAGCTGCAGCCTGCAGAGGAAGGGGTCACCGGGCAGCAGGGTCCCTGGCAGAGGGGGAGGCAGGAAGGGTGCCCGTACCCTGCTGTCCTGAGATCCCAGGGCTGGCCTCTCCTTCCAGGTCAACTATTGCACGGTGCTCCTGTCCTCCATGGCGGACACACTGGCCCACGGCAGTGCTCACTGGGGTAAGCCCATGTTCTGGGAGGTTGAAGGCGGTGGACACGGCCGCCCACTCTGTGGTGCTGCGTGCTCCTTCTTCCCCGGCTGGCCCGGCCAAGGTTCTTTGGGGCAGGTTGGGTGCCCTCTGATGAACCCGTCTTGGCCAGGGTGCAAGCGTGGGTTGACGTAGACACCTTAGACCCTCCTGGGCTGCCCCTTGGCCAGCCAGGCCCCTTGGCCCGCAGGTATCACTTCTATCGTTCATTAGCCTAGTTTGCTCTGGACTTCCACCCTACCTGGGCTGGTCTATGGGGACCCACTCTGAGGCCACCACATCCCAGCCCCAGTCTCCGAGCCAGCTACCTCTCCCTTTCCTGGGCCTGCCCGGCAGGCACCTACGACTGAGGGGGCTTCCTTCCCTCCAGGCTCTCGGAACTGTGGCAGAGGGGGCCTTGGCAGCTGGGAGCACCCAGAGGCTGGCCAGCCACCCTCGGACGCCTGAGCTGCTTGGCCTGTCACATGCAGGGCCGCCTCTCTTCAGCTGGCCGCCCTGGGCCCTGTGCACTGACTTCTGCCCACCTCCAGCGCCCCCTCCCCCTGGCGGGCGGTGGCCCTCACAGCCCTGCCACAGACCTGCCTCTTCCTGGACATCTGCCCCATCTAAAGGAACCACAGCTTGTCCCTCCTGACTCCGTGCAGGGGACCCCGGGCAGTATCCCCTGACAGCCAGGCTCCTCAGGCAGCTCTCTGCCTGGGCAGCTGACATGGGAGCCTCTTGTCCAGGCTAGGCGGCTGCCTCGGGCCTGCCGCAGCCCACCTGTATTCCCTGGTAACAAACGCATCTTCCGTGAAACAGCAGTGCTTGGAGTTTCTGCCTGTGAGACCCAACTGGTCCTCAGGAGCGAGGCCAGGTGTCCACTGCGCCTGCCACCCCCTTCTTCCAGGGCCAGCACAGGGAGTGCCGGTGTGTCCACCTGGCTCTGGGTCCTGGTCCTGACCACCTGCTCTGTGACCCCTTGCTGAACTGTGTGCCCAGGCAGGGCCGCCCCCAGCCCCTGCCTGAGCTGACCGCCACGTTATTTCCAGTGAGTCTGGAGAGTGCTGCACCCTACCTGGCCAGGTCAGACTGGACCCGGGGCAGCTGAGGTGTCCAGGCGACAGCATCACCAAACACCCGGGGCAGGGAGAGGGCGCCTGCCCAGCCGTTCCTGGCTGCCCACTCACACCAGCCAGACCCGTCGCATCGCCTCCCTCGCCCCCACTGAGGTCTGCACCGGGTCTGGGACTGAAGGCGCCAGGCAGGCTTCCAGGAGGAAGCCACCCAGGCCCTCACGGGCTATGGCTGGACACGTGCAGCTGTGAGCCACATCCCTGGAGGTGACCGGGCCTTTCTCTGCTGTGGCCTCAGGCCCTTGGGTAGACGTGCTGGTGAGGAGTGCAGGCATCCACGAGATCCCCTCAGAGCAGCCAGCGCTGGGGCAGGTGTGGGCAGCTGGGGGGTTGCAGGGAGCCCAGACAAGACACATGGAAGCGGAGGAGGACCCAGCACCTTTATTATTCACCGGCACCTAGAGAGCCAGGGAGCGAGATTCCAGCATCCCAGCCCACACCCCGCGTGGGCCCTGGCCAGAGCTGCTGTGCCACCTACAGGGAGCCCCGCCTGGGAGTGGCCCGGCTGGCAGCAGAACCGCAGTGGCCAGTGTGGTCAGGCCGGGCCGCCGCCTCAGGCCTCAGATCTCAGCCCCCGGGCCCTCGGGGCTGCTGCCCTTGTCCCGGAAGTGGCCTCGACTCCGCTTCTTGCTGCTGTGGAAGCCAACAGTCTCCACCAGGCCTGCCACGGGCCCGTCACAGGCAGCCCCCGAAGGCTCCGCCTCCCGCAGGTCCCCACGGGGGCTGCCCTGCTCCTCAGCCTCTGGGCTCCCAGGCCCGGCCAGGTGGGCGAGCTCCACGGGGCCCTCACCCCGGGCCGGGCTGGGGCTCCCGGAGGCACCCCTGCCCGGCTCCGCCCCCTTCCTCAGGACCCGCTTTCTCTCGGGTCTGGCCTCGGCACCTCGGGCCGGCTTGGTGAAGACGACTCTCCCCTCCCCGCTGCTGGAGGGGTCCTGGTTGAAGGAGGGTGCATAGCCAGCGGGGGTGGCCGGGCTCTGGGAGCCCAGGAAGGCCAGGGCGGCGGCCCGGTTGCTCTGCTCGCTGGCCTCAGCCACGTCTTCCAAGCTGTACTTGGTCCAGCGCTCAGGGTGGGCCACATAGTCCGGGACGGGGGGCACCCTCGGAGACGCAGGGCTCCCGTGGGCCCTGCCCAGGCCTTCTGCTGGGCGCTGACTCGAGGGCGCCTGTGGCCGCTTGAAGTCCCCATTGTCACTTATGCTGGTGCGGGCCCCAGAGCGGGGAGCCTGCCTGGCCACCCCCTCCAGGCAGCCGAAGATGTCATGGCTGCGCTGGGAGAAGGTGGGGCTCATGCCTCTCAGATGGAACGGCTGTGCCGCGGTGCGGGGGAGGCCCGTGGGGAGCGCGGGGGGCTCATCGGGCTCTGAATCTTCCTGCGCCTCCCCCGGCAGCCCCTCTGGGGACAGCGCTTCCACCTCAGCACCCCCGGGCCAGCTCAGGTCCAAGTCCGAGTCACTGAGGGAGCCCTCGTCCGAAGGCACGGTGTCGCCCTCCGCCCCTTGCTCACCCTCCAAGCTGGGGGCCGGCTTGCCAGCCCCGGCCTCAGCCATGTGGCCCCTGGGCCTCGCCACACACAGAGCAGAACAGACCAGGAAGCCGTTTCCGAGGAGGAGCGTTTAGGTCAAGGAGGAGCGTTTAGGTCAAGTCCCTGCCGGGTCCCACTCCTCCCTCCTGAAGCCCCCGCTCACTGCCCTGGCCGGGCGGGTGGGGCCTCGTGTGGTCAAGGCAGGACGTCTCAGGCCCGAAGGCCACTGGGTCCACTCTGCTCAGCTGGTCGCCTGGAGCTGTGGGGGAGAGGAAGCCAACATCAGACTTGAGTGTGACCATCGGGAGGGGGACAGAGAGTGACCTGAGCTTGGTTTTCAGAGCACCGACAGAGGCCAGGAACTTTTGACTTGTCGCCTCACTGAATCGCGACTATCCGCTCCAGCCAGGCTTGGGGCGATGCAGTGGTCTCCTTGGGGGTTTGGGTAGGGAGCAGCCGGCCAGGGCCTGAGCCGGGGGGCGGGGGTGGGGATGGGGGTGGGAGCTGCCTGCCTGCCTGCCGTAATGTGCGGGCGCCCTCCAGCCCCGCGAGGAAGCGGCTTGCTCCTGTTGCTGGGAGACCCACAGGAGCTCCGGGGGTCTGCAGCTGAACCTGTGGCATCTGAGGGTCAGCCTCTCAGGAGACGGGGGTGTCCACGAGGCCCTCAAGCAGCCTCGCTGGGCAGAGGCTGACGCCCGAAGCAACCTCCGGGGAGGGCCTGGCTCGCCACACTTAACACAGCCGCGGCCGTGTCCAGCGTGCGGAAGGTGCCGTCGCCAGGCTTGTTTCTGGGAGTCTGGACGGCCCAGCCTCAGCCCTGCGCTGCTCCTGCCGCCCACCCACCGACTCCGCCTCCCCCGAGCCTCCCCCGA